CGAGCCGCCCGGGCGCGGGGCTATGATGGTGCACTGTGCCGGCTGCGAGCGGCCCATCCTCGACCGCTTTCTGCTGAACGTGCTGGACCGCGCGTGGCACATCAAATGCGTCCAGTGCTGCGAGTGCAAGACCAACCTCTCCGAGAAGTGCTTCTCGCGCGAGGGCAAGCTCTACTGCAAAAATGACTTCTTCAGGTAAGAGGCCCGCAGCCTGCGCGCCCCGCGGGCGCCGGGGAAGGGGAAACCGCCTCCCCGGCTCGGCAGCCTAGAAGGGGCCGGCCACTGCTCTCCCCTGTCCTTGGTCAAGGAAAGGGCCGCAGCCCCGGCGGAGCAAAACGGAAGGTGCCTCGCGGTTGCTCCTCCCGGCGGGCTGGGATCAGAGGTTCCCTGGGGGAGGAAGCTCTGACCAACTTACTCCCCGCCCGACCCTACCGCTTCCAGCGGCTGCAATTCCAGGGTGGAAGCGTCAGGCCCTAGTCTGAGAGAGGAAGGATTTTTGCAAAGTTAGGGGTGGCTGGAGGCTTCTCCCACCAGACAGACTGCATTTGCCAAGAGGCGGTCCTCCCGGCGGGCAGGCGGCCCCAGGGCCCTGCTGGACAAACAGCAGCTTCCCGGCGCCCAGGGGCTCGGCCAGGAGGGTTTCCTCCGATGTTTGGGGGAGGGACCCTTTACCTTCTCATCCCCTCACCCCAACTCCGTGAATATTTTCTCCCATGTTGAAAAGTACCAAGGAAATCCAAGCTGAGAATCAGGACCTCCAGGGTCTAGTCCCCGGCCCTGTCACCTCCCCTTGCTGCCCACCGGGGCCCTCAGGCGGGCTGGGGATGACCACTGCTCTGGGCCTCAGTTTCCCCAGCTGGGAAATGCTCAGGGGTGGCCTGGAAGGCTGTGGGGTTTGCAGCAGCTCAGCCCTGCCTGCTTCCACCCGCCCTGGAGAGCGGCTTTGTGAGTGCGAATTCCAGCGCCCGGGCAAGGGGGCGTGATTAACTCGGAGGAGCAAGCCTGCCCCCAGCCCCCAGCCCCAGCTGCTCGGCCTGGGGAATCTGAATAGGAGAAAATGTCAGCCTCGCCTTTACACGTGTAAACTCCCGGCCTGGAGAACCCAGGCCCTAATGTGGCGAGGCTTGCAAAGCGCCTAATGATTTTTGATAAGGTACATATGGCCAATTACGCGGCCGGATAAGGCCAAAAGTGACTTATGGCTTCTAATGCCCTCACTACATCAACGTCACCCAAATTCGCCGTTTAGAGGCCTGGGTGTGAGCAGATGTGGGGCCCAAAGTCCCGGCCCGCTCCCTCCCCAACCCGCACCTCTCCCACTCGGAGGAGGCTGGCCTTCTCCCCGGGCTCAAGAAAAGGATTTAGACCAGGAATTCGGGCACTGGGGGGCCAGGGGGGGGGTTTGAGCATTCCGAGTGCTGGCCAGACAGGTGTTGGATTGCCTTCATTTCCCCGCTGCCTGCCAGGGTCAGAGATTTTGGGGGGATGGAGATTCAGTCTCTGCTTCTTGGGGTCCACTGGTCCCCAGGCTCCTGACTAGCTGTGCTGCATCCCACAGTGGGACTGGGAAGCCCCAGGCGCTGGCGGTGCTGGGAATGGGCAGAAGGCTCCCTCCTCTCTGCCTGGGTCCTGCTCAGGAGAAGGGCTCCCGCCAATGGCTGGATCCCGCCAACCAGGCCAAAGGATCCAGGAGGCAAAGCCAAGAAGGGGCCCAAACCCTGCCTGCCTGGCTCAAAAGCCTTCCTAGCCTGGAGAGGCGAGTTCACCTTGAGCACCCCAGATGGATGTGGGGGTACAGGGAGCATCTTGGGGTGCTCTGGGCCCTCTGCCTGGCTGAAGGCTGTGCCCATTGCTCTAAGCCCAGTGGAGTCCAAACAAACCTGAACGAGACATGGCCGTCCCAGCCCCAAGAACAGCCGGGAACATTGGTCTCCTTCTTGTGCTCAGCCGTGGAGCACAGCAGTGGGTCTCATTGGACAGAGAAGGAGTGGAGGCTTCTCAGAAGCCAGGAGGGTGGGAAGAGGTCGGGGGCTGGCGAGGACGGGCCATCGGGCTGCCTGGTGACGGGCTGTGCTATGTCGGCAGGCGCTTTGGCACTAAGTGTGCGGGCTGCGCTCAAGGCATCTCGCCCAGCGACCTGGTGCGCAAGGCCCGCAGCAAAGTCTTCCACCTCAACTGCTTCACCTGCATGGTGTGCAACAAGCAGCTGTCCACGGGCGAGGAGCTCTACGTCATCGACGAGAACAAGTTCGTGTGCAAGGACGACTACCTGAGCTCGTCCAGTCTCAAGGAGGGCAGCCTCAACTCAGGTAGGAGCCTCGCTCCTCCGCCAACCCGGCCCCGCGCTCTCTGCACTGCTCCCTGGTGCTGCCCGGCCCAAACGGAGCTCTCGGCTCCGGGTCACCCAGCCGGCAGCTCTAGGGCGAGGCGGGCTGGGCGCCGGGAAGGGCACAGCGTGGGAGCCAGGCCGACTGGACACCAGACCAGCCCTTCCCCTGCCCTCCGATTCGGGAGCCTTTTCCCAGGCGCCGCCTTCCCCATTTGGAACTGCGCGATTCCCTTCCGCTCCTTTGAGCTCCTGGTCATTTCTCCCTGCGCTGGCAGGACTCTAATCGGAAGGAGAGGAGGGCGCGGGGAGCTGAGATCTGAGGCCCCAGCGCACCTGGACCCTCCTCCAGGCCCCTCTCCAGAGGGCGCGCGTCCCCCTCGCCCAGCAATAGGCGAAAAGTGCTGAGAAGGCTGGAGAGAGGCCCTGCGAAGGCCCAGCCCCACCTGGACGGAGTGGGCGGGCCCGGGCCCGGGCCTGGGGGAGGGGCTGTCTCGGGGTTTGGGAGCGAACCCCGCGGTGCTGGCGGCGGCCTCGGCCGGCTAGAACCGGCTCCCGATTGTGGCGGCCTCGGGCCGCCGCTGACGCTGCTGTCCCCTTCGCACTCCCTCCGCCGCAGTGTCATCCTGTACGGACCGCAGTTTGTCCCCGGACCTCCAGGACCCGCTCCAGGACGACCCCAAGGAGACGGACAACTCGACGTCTTCGGACAAGGAGACGGCCAACAACGAGAACGAGGAGCAGAACTCGGGCACCAAGCGGCGCGGCCCGCGCACCACCATCAAAGCCAAGCAGCTGGAGACGCTCAAGGCC